ATTTTAAGAAAGACAGAACAAAGGGTAGGTGACCATTTATTTATAGAGAAAACAAACATGCTTGAAAACATTGCTCTGAAGAATTGACATGCCCAGTTCATAGTCATTACACAGGCAGGCAAGGGAAAAGAGTATGGTTATAAATGCAGATCACATATGGCTGCGCAAATTCAGTTTACTTTTTTTTTTTAACTATTGGTATAATGATTGTTGCTTAGCATGAATAACCCTGAATCCAGCACAAAACATATAAAATTATTTCTAGGATTGTAGAAGCTAACTGATAGCAGGAGAAAATTGTAGGTTCTGGCAATCAAATGAAATTAAACTCATGGGCACTGAAGCTGTCCTAATCAGTAATAATGAATATTTTTCTAAAAGTACAAAACATACACAACTAAATCTAAATGAACAGAGCTACTATCAATGGAGACAGAGATAATGAGATTATATACAGAACAAACTAGAAATTTTGGTAATCAGATCAGATAAGCAAGATCCAGAATGGACTTCTTGCTGCACATATCTAACAATAATTTTTTGGCCACATATATGATGGCTGACACAAAACAAAATTCACAATATATTAAAGACTGAATTCTTTGGTTTACTGGCAATGGCAAAGCTTTTGACTGTGTAGATCATGTCAAAGTATAAAATATATTCTGGATAAAGAGCAAACTAAACCCCTTAATTACTTTTCTAAGGAATCTTTACAATGAACTAGAATTATATTAAGAACATAATTTTGACAAATATTGGTGGTGTCAAACTATGGGCTTACTCTTAATCGATTTACAATTGATGGCAAAGAAGTGAAAATGGTAAATAAGTCAGTTTTCCTGAGCTCCAGATTACAGATAGATAAAGGAAGGCAATAGCTAAGGTTGATAAAATCATGAAGATGGAGATGGTTCGCTGACAAGATCAAAATAGTTAAAACAATGGTCTGAGACAGACCAAAGAAAATAATATGAGAGGCCTACAACTTATGAATGTGATGATAGTTATCAAAAGTACCATGTATGCAAGCATACCAATCAAGCAAAGTTGGGCCACATTCAAATATGTCATGGGAATATTCTTGAAAGAGATGTGTATTATTACCAGAAACAAGTCAAAATAATGAGCATTTGCTTATATAGTTATCATCAAATTTGACTCAATGGCACCCAAATAATCAGCTTAAGTTAAACAATGGAAAGTGGACTGGATGCTTTTTCTGTAAATGATCAGCAGGAGGAGCTCAATTCAGATAAGGTTCATAGTTAAGGGGTTGGGATCTTAACCTTTGCCTCTTGTTCTTTTATATATATATATATATAACTGGGATCTGTTATTGGTACCAGAAAAATAGCTAGAAATCACTGGCTTTCTCTCCATATTCTCAGTCTGGAATGGGATTGAAAAAAGGGACACAGAGATAAGCTCACCACTTCTCACCTAAAAACAAAGTTCCAATCCTGATTGATGTTATTATTTTAAAAAATATTGCTTTAAAATCATATTGTTTGACCATCACTGGGAGTTTGGGAGTTGCCAAAAGTGTAAGCGTGGCATAGAAAACTGTGAACTTGCTACAGACAGTCTCTCTTCAGAAAACTAATCTTAGAAATCTAGATCTTTTGCACAAACTTCTTCTGTTAACTATAAAACTAGCTGGTAGGCCAACAAGTAAACTCATCTGTTTTATTATGACTCTGCCATTTCCCCCCTTATCATGGTTAAAAACATTGCCAATAGTTCCACTCTTTGGAAAAAGGTAAAAATTGTCAAGTTGCAAGAAATGGAAACATTTCTGTATTTTATGTTAAGGATCAGCAATTTCTTAGCAATTTAAGCACTTAAAATATTGACCTGACATTCCCTCAATCTCACCCCAAATCTGGAGAAAAGAAAACCTAGCTACCTTATGATTTTATTATATGAACCATAGATAATCATAGCAAGTGGCATAATCATAGCAAGTGGCATAATAGACAGCCATGGCAGATTTTCAAAAATTAAGTATCATTGATTATAATATATACAAGACCATAGACTAGACTAAGAAAAAGTGTAAGCATACTGGAAGAAGTTAATGGTAAATCATTCCCATATTGATGTCAAGAAAACATGGAGTCCAACTCAATCCAAAGAAAATTTTAACTTTTAGTTCCAATATCGGTTTCTAAAATATTTGACTCCAGACAGTTCCTTTCCTGAAATATCTCAGTCCCTCATATCCTTGGCCTTCTTTTTCCTTTACTTCACTTTCTACATTCAGTCTCTCTAGTTTTCCCTTTTTCTTAGTCTCCCAGCTAATTTTCATTCTTGACTGCGTTCATACACATGACCAAGAAACTGTTCCACAGTCAGATATTTCAATGTTTGCACTTGTCTTTAGAAATCAAAAGCTTCTCTGATTAAATGCTATTACAATCCAGCACTTGGACGGATCCAAACAGATTAATGTGCTTCTGGGGTAGCTTTAGTGATAATCTTGCTACAGATGGATAAAATAAATGTCAGTACCCTGGTTTGAAGGGAGCTTTCACCCCAAGGATCCTTTTCATTTACAGGAGAAAGACTGCTTTTCAAGCATCTGTTGCTTGAAAAAAGCAAAGAGTATAACGTATAACAGAGATCTGTTTCCATCTCTCCTGATTAAATGAAACAAAACTTTTCTGAAGAAGAGTAGTATGGTTATAGCCATGGGTTCACAGTGACGTGTCATGTTTTCTTTCTCTGACTGGATCCGTTCCAGATATATTGGACTTCAGTGCCCAGAACGGCCTAGGATTCCATAGCTCAACATTAGTACGCAAGTTCCCAGTTTAATCCTCAGAACTCTGAGAATACAAAATTAATCTCAATGTGGCTGAGGAAAAATTACTACCAATCCCAGCAGATTGTGCTGCCTGGATAGAAAGATCAATGCTTTGACTTGATAAAAAGCAGCTTCCTATTTTCTACTAGCAAGACCGTAAAAAATCTCTTAGCATGCATAAAGTTAACCTTTATTAATTTACAGCATTTGTTAATCAACTCTAGAGTATAATTGTACAAGCCACTCTGAAGACCTATTACAAAGTAAACTTAAAATACAAATGCCGCATATTCTAGTCTAAGGGCTTAAATCAAATGCTAGTTCTAAGAAAAACAATTATGATATAAACATGCGCTAACCCTCATTTTTAATAATGAAAATAATATTTATTATTAATAAAATTGTGCAGTGTTCCGATTCCAAGAGGAAAGGACCCAAGATATATGCTGCAAATCTAGAATTTATACAAGGAAGGTATGAAACATCTTATTAAAAGTTCAGAATAGAAGCAGAAATTTGTTGTGATCCAGGTGTCTGACTACAATTCCAACAATCCCTTAGCATAGAAGAAAGGTTTACAGCAATCTTAAATATTAACAACATATGTGTTCATATAAAACACTGTCCTCTGATGTGAAAATTACCATCTCAGAAAAATAGTACAAAGAATCCAATCTGAAGAATTCTTTTTAAATCAGTTCTATCACAGTGACCTAAGAGCTGCATAGCAATGAACAACCACCACTTATAAGGGATAAAAGAAAATAATTAGGCAAGGACAACACAGAGGTTGTTACTAAACCTGCTCCCTGGCACAAGTGGCTTCTGTGATCCCAAATATTGAGACTCAAAATAGAAACACACATGCAAGCAATAAAGGCATAGGGAAGCAGTGAAGCAGTTATTCTGCATGTCAATTCCCCTTTATGTTATTGCCAATTACTGCATTCATGTAATTTGGGAGTGCTTATTTACCTTTGGAAATAATTCCTTCTAGTGGAAAGAAGGAAAAGTATATAGATGTAGGCTTTTAATAGATAATGAATGTGTAATTTGACTTCTCTTCTGAATTTAGGCTGGAATGTATATAAATGAAGTTGAGTGACCTCTGCCACAGCATAAAAAGATGATGGGAAGGGAGCATAGCGGCTTCAGAGACAGACAGATTAAGTACAATTGATTTTATGCTGGAGCACTCTGATAGCTAGTCAGCCAAATGGCATTTTGACGCTCATCAATAGTGCACAGGGGGAAAAGCAGGCAGCACTAATTCAATCAGAATTCACTGACTTGGAGGGCAAGTCTGACAGTGTCAATTTGCCCTATTTTTTGCATATAAAACTAAGCCTCTTCCCTGAAAAATCACATATACTTTAATCCACAAATAGCCAGGCACGTGCACCCTATAATCAAGAAATGCATCAAGCTATGAAATATGACTGCATCTGGAACAAAGTGTGACATCTCTTAATTTCTAATTAGGGTAAAGGTGCGGAGCATATAATAGAAATGGTATCTGAACATCAAATTTGTATGTAGAACTATGAGGAGTTGCATACTTCGTGTTATAGGCCAAAAATTCAGTCACAGTGATATAGTACTGAAATAGTTTCTACAACCAATTGTACGATTTTCAGTCCCTCCCTCCATTCAGTTTATTTTTTTTTTTACCTGCCAATTTTTTTCTGGCTTCTTCCTGAGAATAATTACATCAATATTATAGCCAATCAGGAAACAAACATGACAATCTATCTTAATATAGTCAACTGGTTTTGGCAATGTCACAGCATAATTTAGACTTCATTCTATGACTGCTTGTCTCTACCCCATGGACAATTTGCATAAGGACAGTTAAACCACACTATTGGTTTCAATATATATGTGATAATGATTAGAATTAGTAGTTTCTGTGAATGAGTACAATTACAGCATTGTACTTAAAAGATTAACTCTGTTGCAGGTTAATCTTCTGAATGTATGTTTTAATTCTTTTCAATAATGCAATCCTTAGATAAGCCTTTGTATCATTATTCCCCAAATTTCATTAACTCTTAAGGTCCTAAATTCTGGGAACTCTCAAATTTAAAGAGCTCAACTTAATTAAACCTTTTGGATGTCACCATTGTATATCATAAACAGCACATTTTGGCTCACCTTCACTCATTGCTGACATAGTCAAAAGGAATATTACCTCACTGACATTGATGCAGTTTCTGTCCATGTAGTCCTTGTCATTCACTTGTCCACCTTCCATGAACTCCATGAAAAGAACACGTCTTGTTGAAAGCTCCCAATAAATTTTTGGAACCTATAACAGAGGACTCTTAAGACTCTGAAGGATATTAAGAATAGAATAGAATAGAATAGAATAGAATAGAATAGAATAGAATAGAATAGAATAGAATAGAATAGAATAGAATAGAATAGAATAGAATAGAATAGAATAGAATAGAATAGAATTCTTTATTGGCCAAGTGTGATTGGACACACAAGGAATTTATCTTGGTGCATATGCTCTTGGAGTACATAAAAAAAAAGATACATTCATCAAGAATCATAAGGTACAACACTTAATGATAGTCATAGGGAAACAGTCAATATAAATCTTAAGGATACCAGCAACAAGGTTACAGTCATACAGTCATAAGTGGGAGGAGATGGGTGATAAGAACGATGAGAAGATTAATAGTAATGCAGACTTAGTAACTTAGTAAGGGAAGCAGAGGAAGCTAAAACTAGACAATCTTTTTTTTAGCATGAGATGGGATTGAGCAGACTAGTCCTTTTTGTCTTAGAAATATGAATGTGTAAGTAGATTATTCCAGATCCAATTAACTTTTCTTTATCTACTGAGGAGTAGCTACAGGAAATAGTTAAAAGAGTTCAGGATTGGAAATATTTCACTAACAGTAATTGTAAAAAAAAAAAAAAAAAACAGTTATAAAATACTGCATATTCCCAGCCACAGACCATTCTGTAAATATACTGCAGTTTGGTAAAGGAAAAACCAAAGCTAATGTTAAGATTTCAGAAACTTGGATTCCAATTCAGATCTGCTTTGGACAACCTATGTTCAGTGGTATAGCATTAGTTCTGCATGTGCAACACCTCACTTCTGTGCATAGCATCCTTGACCCAAAGAATCCAAGACTTAGCCTCAAAAACTGGCAGGTTTCTTAGTCAAAGAAAATATTACTGGCCAAGATTGAACAACAATCTCACTGAAAGGTTGGATTCATATAACGCATTGGGCTAACATGTAGTTGTCTAGTCCTTGGCCCGCTATGTTATAGTTACTTTATAATCTGGTGGTGTAATAAGATCTGATGCAATTGGATTAATACAATTCACTTAGACACAGAAGAGCATGTTCTATGAACACTGCTATCATAATCACAAACATTAGCAGTAATCCCTGAGATGGGCGGTTCAAAATGTGAAAAATAAATAAAATATCATACGGACTATATTTCATGGAATTATATGCTTAGAAGAGAACTATCAAGGGCAACCCCTTGCTCATTGCAAAAAATGTAAATTAAAGCATTCCTGACAGATGTCTGCCTAGAGAAGGACAGCCCACCTCTTCGTCTACCTGTGAGATTGCTCTACAACATGAATCTGCTTTCCTGAAACTACATCCATTACCACATGCCTTTCCATTTTGGAAGGAGAGAAAAGCTTTCTTGATTTTCTTCTGAATGTCACTCCTTCGGATACTTGAAAAGTGCATCTCCCTGTGTCATTTTTTTCTCAAGGTTAAACAAGCCTAGTTCTATCACATTCACCAGGGCATGATATTATCAAAAGCTTATGTTGGTTTATTTACGGCAGCTGTTAATCAGCAGTCACGTCACAGGCATTTTGGGACTTTAGCTCTTCTGTTTGTATCAAAGACAGAAGAACTATATCTCTTTTGCGCCATGGTGACCTAAGAAATTAGCCATCATACTTCTCCGCAAGCTGCACTGGCTCCCTATTGGTCTCCAGGCACAATTCAAGGTGTTGGTTATTACCTTTAAAGCCCTACATGGCTCAGGGCCAGACTATCTTCGAGACCGCCTTCTACCGCATAGCTCCCAGCAACCGGTAAGATCCCACAGAGTTGGTCTCTTCCGGGTCCCATCAGCTAAACAATGCCGGCTGGCGGGCCCGTAGGGGAGGGCCTTCTCTGTGGCTGCCCCAGCTCTCTGGAACCAGTTACCTCCTGAGGTCTGGACTACCCCCACCCTATTGGCCTTCTGGAAAGCGGTGAAGACCTGGCTTTTCCAGCAGGCCTGGGGCCGTTGATCTCGCTGTTCAATCTTGCGAGATCCAGCCATGGATGGTATGCATGTGTTTTTAATGTTTTTAAAATGCTTTTATAATGGTTTTTTAAAAATTTTTATTCACTGTTTGTATTATTTCTGTTGTAAGCCGCCCAGAGTCCCTTGGGAGTTGCGCGGCATAGAAATATGATTAATTAAATTAAATTAAAGTGCCTTACAGCTCTTTTTGTGTGCAGATGTTAGGTAGACATGCTCCTGGCCTCCAGGCTATTACATCACCATCGGCAAAGAGAAGCAAACAACAACATTTTGCAAATAGGAGGTTTCTTGGGAGATCATTAAGCCCCTCTCTGAAAATACAATGTCCTTCTTAAGTGTTACTGGAACATCCATCAACAATTTTTTTTTAAAAAAAACCAACCACTAAAGCAGGCAAAAACTTCTCTTCTATCCTACTGACAAACAAAAAAACCTATTGTCAGAAAGCTGAAAAACTTTCTCTTTTAGAATGGGAGAATGAAATACTGTCAAAACTACATTTTCAATTTTAATATATTATTGCTATCATTAGCTCATCATGTGAGCTATCAGAATAAATTGAATTGTAGTAATATTAGCAACATTAGAATTGCTAGTATATGTTTAAATCAGATAGTCAAACAATATTTTTACAGCTTGTTGGTAGAAGTTTCAAATGTTTCAGAATATAAAACATTTTAAAAGGGTTAGGTTGAAACTGTGACCTCAGTATAAATACTTTATGGATCCCAGATTCATAATGAAAACTTTTTGTCGATAACCTATATATATGCAATTATCTGAATAACAGTGAGGCATCTGGGCCGTTTATATTTTAGGCATTTTAAATTTCATATGCATGCAAAATATAATATGTTATATGCACATTAATACAGAACATATGTTATTTAAAGCATATCGCCTACACATGCCTTTCTGAAATAAATCCTATTGAGTTCAGTGGGTTTTATGCAGCCTTAAATAAATCGGAAATTTAAGGACTGAGAAAGAAGAAAGAACCACATATATTTCAATTCAGATGTTGGGTTTTGTGTTGTTAATAATTGGTGATAAAATGTGGCTCCAAAATTACAGAAATGATAAATCTGTAATTTAGAATTCTTCCATTTAAATCTCCAAACTGTTTCACAGAAAATTTCCAGAACCTCTAGTGATGGCTAACCTTTTCCCAAAGCGCGAGTGCCCAAAGCACGTGTGTGCGCATGCGAATGCATGCGTGCGCCCAAACCCCCAAATTGCAATGCATGCATGACTCCCGCGCACACACACACACACACACCCCGTGCATGTGCAGCAGAGACCCGATGATCAACTGGCTGGCAGGAGGCACGTGCACATGCACATGCATGTCTGAGCTGAACTGGGGTGACGGCTCATGTGCCCACAGAGAGGGCGCTGCGTGCCACCTGTGGCACACGTGCCATAGGTTTGCCATCACGGCTCTACAGCATATCCAATAATGCCACATACATTTAGCATAATGTATGTAGAGCCATATGGCATAGTGGTTAGAATGCAGGCTAACTTTGCCCACTGCCAGGAGTTCGATCCTGACTCAAGGTTGACTCATCTTTTCGAGGTCAATAAAATGAAAAGCCAAATTGTCAGGGACAATATGCTGACACTGTAAACTGCTCAGAGAGTGCTGTAAAGCATTGTATAGTGGTATATAAGTCTAAGGGCTATTTCTGTTGCTATAATTCAGAGGCTATAAAGAAAGGTAAGGACTTTTTCTTCTAATCTTGTTTAGAATTATCGCTAAATTCACTTTTTATGTTTCACTTTTTAAAAAAAGTACATCCTGATTCCTGATGCTAACCAGTTCTTTTTTAAAAAAAAAATCCTGATGTTACTATATTCTGGCCCTTAAATCCATTGATCCAAAAGGCATTGCTTATTTTAATCCTAAATCAACACTTATCCTCATTTCAGAATTGACAACAACCGCCAATGACTCTTACTAAGCTTTGTAAGTCTCAGTTGCACAAAATCATAGTCTTTGGCAAGCTTAAATTATGCACAGACATTGGGCCCTCATGCCTGTGCATGGAAACAATTTATCTTTGGATTTACAAGCTTAACTGGGTTCACAGTGAGAAATCTACTTCCCTGCTGTGCCGTAGGGTTCCCCATCCCTCAAGAAAAAAAAAATTACACAGTAACACAACTCCCTTGCTGTCTTTAGTGTTGATGAAAATGTCTTGGAATCGACAAGTTGGACAGGAGAAATCTATTATTAAGCCATTTTTGCAATAATTTGTTATTGTTCCCTGAATCAATACTGCAGCGGCTCTTTCACCCAGCAAGGATGTGATTGGCGGTCTCCATGGGGATTTGTTTCACACTCTCCAAGTTGTTACAGCAGCCATGGACATAGACGCAACATCTGTGATAAACATTCACTTAAAATGAGCCATCAGCTTTCAGCCCTTTCTGCCCCTTTAAAGGCCTCTTTGCTTCAGCATTCGACCTGGAAAAGACTGAGTAGAGCATTCCCAGGGTCTGTTCAAGACTGAAAGTGGCTGGGCCATAGATGCAGGTTGAGAAAGGTGGGGCAACTCTATCTAGGCTGTTCAGATGATTACTATCTGGAGCAAACAGTTAACTAATTTTTTATCTGACTGGTCCTTGGTGCTCTCTGAGCTTAGCTCTTTTTTGTTTGTTTGTTTGTTTGTTTGTTTTTGTTTTTTTATAGATTACCACTGCTGATCTTAACCGAGTTTGGATAAAGAAACGTCTGCAAGAAAACAGTCAGAGAGCACCAAGGACCTCTCATTTCAACCCTGAACTACAAATATTCTTCTCTATTATCTCTTTCCTGCCAGATAGTGGCTCTCCAGATGTATGCAAATCAGGAATGTGGCCCTACAAGAGGGGCTCCAACCTATTCAATACTAATAGCTCAGTGGTGGGATTCAAAACATTTTACTACCAGTTCTGTGGGCGTGTCGTGGCTTGGTGGGCATGGCTTGGTGGGTGTGACAGGGCAAGGGTACTGTAAAATCTCCACCCCACTCCAGGGGAAGGATACTGTAAAATCTCCATTCCCACCCCACTCCAGAGGAAGGTTACTGCAAAATCCCCATTTCCTCCTGATCAGCTGGGATCGGGAGGCAGCGAATAGATAGGGGTGGGGCCAGTCAGAGTGGTATTTACCGGTTCTCCAAACTACTCAAAATTTCCACTATCGGTTCTCCAGAACTGGTCAGAACCTGCTGAATACCACCTCTGTAATAGCTGCTGTTTAATTCTATAAGATCAGGTGACTTTGGACCTGGCTCAGTGCTTTTCAAAGAAATAGAAAACGGCAAGTCATACAAGTTTTTTGTACACAAACATATATCTTGCCTAAAGATTTGCATTTGCAATCCAGCTATGTGCCCATGGATGTAATGCTCATGGTCATCTGAATGAGTGCTGTAAATATTCAGTACATGCATCTTTGGAAAAAGGACTATTGTGATAGGAAATGTCCATTGCTATCCAAACAATAGGTGTTGTGGCCAGCCAGAGGAGCTGGCAGCAGATTTGGACAGTAAGGAGGTTAGGGAGGAACATGGGCCAATCCTGGAGTCTGGGGAAGGCTTGATGAGGGCTGTGCATTAGTTCATTAAGCAAGTCATGATCAACATAATTTAATCACATTTTTTGTGGTGGTAAAATCAACATAAACCTAACTGTCTCATCTGAATTTGTCCATTATACTAGAGATATTTCATCTGGCTTGATATGTTGTCCATTACATTCCAAACCTACTATATGGGGATCCATTGAATCAAGGTTTTACTGTATATATGACCATCCATACCATCACACATATACCATACCTTTAGGAAGTCAAAGCATCTGAGCATGTAGGCTACCTTCTCGGCATTCTTTCCCTCATTAAGGAAATCAAGTTCAAGAGGCAAGTTCTTCTTAGCTTCGTCCACTAACCACATAAACTCAAAGTCTGGGAATATTTGCTTCACAACCAAGATGAGGATCTGAAATCATAAATCAATAACCTTGTTGGGTACCATGCCACAGGAAATTAGCACTGGGAGAGCTCTCCCTCCTCCCTCCCTCTCTCTCTCTCTCTCTCTCTGTCTCTCCCTCTCCCTCCCTGTCTCCCTCTTTCCTGTTTGCGCAGGGAGTTGGACTAGAAGACCTCCAAAGTTCCTTCCAACTCTGATAGTTTGTTATAAAGTGTGACATCATGTGACCACATGACAGCAACCCTGGCATTCCCTGTAACTGTTGTTAAGTGAATTCTGCCAATGGTTAGGCAAGGATCCACCCCAATCCAAGCCATACCAAGCTTAGTCTCCTTCAGCCCCAAGCTTCAGTAAGGTAAGGAATTGCCTCCAACTAACCCCAACCACCTACTTCCCCATCTCTGCCCTATACTCCAGGAACCCCCAACAGCAGAGTACAAATACACAGTGTCCTGGGAAGCCCCAAAACTGCCACATCCCAGAAAGCCCGAATAGCATGATGCAAAACCACAGTGCCTCAGGAAGCTCCAACCACCCCAGCTCAGTTCCAGGCGCAGTCACCCTTGCCATCCTACACTCCAAGATTCCTTCTACCCTGCACTCCACTGATCCAGCTAACCTTAGCCATCTTTTTTCACCCACTGCTGACAAGGCATGCCCATCTTGATCTTTCGTGAGGTAGCTGCTAACCATGTGAGGCCATCTTCCCTAGATCTTGTGAGGAAACCACCATGCATGACCTTGGGAAGAAAGTCTCATGTGACCAGCAGCTGCCTCACAAGGACAAGGCCGAATATGTTTTGTCAGCAGCAGAAACAAGAAGATAGGTGAAGGCCAGCTAGGGTAATAGCAGCTGTGGAGTATGGAGGGCCAAAAGAGCATAGATGAATGGAAATAGGTGGGAGGGAGAGTTGAAGCACCCCTGTAGTTGTAAATGCGGGTAGGCTACCAAGCATCTGAATTTTCACCATGTGACCCTTGGAATGCTGCAATGGCCATAACTTCAGGAACCCATCATAAGTCCCTTCGTTCAGCACCATAACTTGAAACAGTCATGAATGGATAGTCGTAAGTCAAGGGCTACTTCTATAGCATACATGGTTCACGATATAGTAAAGTATGAAATTGGCACTGAAGATGGAATTATGCAAAGACTGCCACCTGCTCATTAAGCGGAACTGAAAGTTTAAGCGCATTTCCCAAATTACATATCAGTTCTACCTGGGGAATAACAACCGCATCGAGAACTAAATATGGTAAATCTTTGTGACCAGAAGCTCCTTGAAACTACACTCAAACAATGGTTGCTAAAACTAAGTCTTTCATGGTTGGACTATCATTTCTCATGATCAATTCCTACACCTCTACAAGGTCATATGATCTTACCATTCACATCTTTGGCAAATAGGAAAGGAATCCTTATTGTTATAGCTGAACTCTTGACATAAATTGGAAGGAATAATTTAAACCACTGCATCTAACGTTCTGTCTAGTGCAGGGATCCAAATTAAAGCATTTTAGAGAGATGATTGTCTAGCCTTTGATTGAACATATCGCACAACATTTCTGTATAATTGGTTCCATTTTTGAGCTGCTCTTGCTGTTAAGAAATGTTTTCTAACATTCAACCATATCTGTCTTCCTGTAATTTAAATTATTATTCTGTGCCCTGTACCCTGGGGCAAGAAAGAACATATCTTGTTCTTCTTGTACATGACAGCCTTTCAAGTATTTGAAGAAAGCTATCATATCTCCACTGGGTTGTCTTTTCTCAAGATTAAACATACCTAATTCCTTCACAGGACTTAATTTCTATTCCCCAATCTTCCTTGTTACCCTTTCCTGAATCTGCTTCAGTTTCTCTGAATCATTCTTAAAATGTGGACACAGTACTTGAGATGGGATAAAACCAAATATAGCAGAAGGATTCCTTTCTATTAATTGCAAAATATTTATTTATTTATTTATTTATTTTATTCAATTTGTATACCGCCCTTCTCCTAGTGGACTCAGGGCGGTGCACAGCCAGAACTAAAACACATACCAATACAAAATTTAAAATTTTTAAAAGAATGACATGACTTTGGCCCAAAATTTAAAACATTCAAACTAAAACCCATTGACAATTTAAAAAGCTAAAAAAAAGGGGGGGTTCACGCCAGCCCTGCTTGATGGAAAAGAAAAGTTTTTAGGGCACGGCAAAAGACCCGGAGATCTGATATCCTTCGTATCTCCGGGGGCAAATCGTTCCAGAGGGCAGGAGCTGCCACAGAGAAGGCCCTCCCCCTGGGGGTCGCCAGCTGACATTGCCTGGCTCACGGCACCCTGAGGAGTCCCTCTCTATGAGAGCATACTGGTCAGTGGAAGGCTATCGGCGGCAGAAGGCGGTCCCGCAAATATATATATTTCTGTTGATACAGCCTGAAACTGAAATTCTTTTCTTTGCGGTCATGCCACCCTGCTGCCTCATATACGGTTTGCAAACAACTATTTCCAAGGTCTTTTGCAGTCTGTTGAAACTTCTATTCTAGACTTCTATTGGGGAACCACCTTTCATCAGCTGAAATGGGGCAATTTGCTACTGCAATTCTTTGACTTTTTCAGAACTACTGTAACCTTGGGTTTGCTGCAAATACTGTATATACCATGTTGTTTTCAGGCAGAGAGGCAAACTTGGACCAACGCTTCAGTTCAGAATTATAGAATCCTGTCCATTCATTTTCAATTTTGCTTCTTAGGATATCAGTGGAAAAAACCTATTGTTTCTACTTTAATTCTTAGAGTTCAGGTTAGCATAAATTCTTTACAGTAGTTAGAGGAGATATTTGTTCTGACTCCCTTTTAAATTGCCACAAAATTTGCCTAACAAACTTCTATTCAATAGTTTTGTGAGCTTGCTCCCTGGAATATGGTTGTCTTATATTCTTCTTACATGAGCCGCGGTAACATGAGCCTGCAGTGGCACAGTGATTAGAGTGCAGTGCTGCAGGTTACTTGTGCTGACTGCCAGCTGACTGCAATTTGGCAGTTCAAATCTATTAAATCTCACCTGGCTCAAGGTTGATTCAGCCTTCCATCCTTCCGAGGTCGGTAAAATGAGGAGCCAAATTGTTGGGGGCAATATGCTGACTCTGTAAACCGCTTAGAGAGGGCTGTAAAAGCACTGTGAAGCAGTATATAAGTCTAAGTGCTAGTGCTAGTGCTATTACAGTCTCTGTTTACTCTCTAGGAAGCAGTCATTTAATCAATCTCAAAAGACGTTTAGGAGCTCTCAACCTACAGTGGCAGAATCGAAAAGAGATGGGCAGACTTACCTTTGGTCAAATCACTTTTTGGAGATGATTGCATTACATAATAAATGCAAACATAGAGAGAGAAAAACCTTACAATACTGGAAATCCTTTTTCCAAACTGCCACCAAATAGGAAAAAAATGCTTGTGTTTTGAATTCAAAAAGCAACTTAAAGGAGCAAAATTCATATATCCTATTTTTCAGTTAAGATTGGCTTAAATATCGGCTATTTACGCCAATCTCCAAAACTATCTTAAATTAACTAGAGTTTCCACATTGAATGTATTCTAAGATGGAGCAAGATAGTTTATGAACCAAACCAAACCAACTAAAAAACAGTTCTAACTCTGCCACCTTATACTTATCCATATTTTTGCAGCCCTGGCACACAGATGTACCATACATCATATATTTGAGGTACAGGCTGTAACAAAGATGCAACATTTGATGTACTGGATAGCGTACATGTACACTTACATGACTGAAGTGGCATCCACAGAAATGCCCTCCCTTGCATATGCCCTGTATATACAGCCATGAAATGAATTTTGACTGGAAATGTCTCAAATCACCTAAGATGTTTATGATGTAAATTGTACAGGTCTCTGATTTAAGCAAGATAAAAGAACGCATCATTGCTCCACATCAATTTTTTTTTTTTGCAATGAAACACTCTGTTTAGTTTAATAGGATTGAGAAAGTACGAAAGTGAACAGGCTAATAAGTTCTGCCATCTTTCTATTTTTCAATGCTGAATTACAACATTGTGAGGTTAAACATCTCCAGGGCTAGTTTTTTCAATATGGATTAGTTAATTGTTATCAGAGTTTCACTAGGGCAATGTGCTTTAATTGGAAGTTTCCTCTTGCTTTTACCCTATAATTGTTCACTATGACAGCAGAAGCTGCTAAAAACAGTCTTTTATTGCTAATTAATTAATCTGGCCCTTTCTGTTCCTGCAGAGGATTTTTTCCTTATTAATTCCTTCCATGTTTTTTATAAGAAGAACAGCTCTGTTTTATCAGGCTAAAGTCCATTGTAGTCAACATTTTTCTTTCTTACAATGAGCAACTAGATGGCTCTGAGATGCTTCTAAACAGGAGATGGAAACATATCCTTTTGCCACCAATGTTCCCCTTACAAATGGTATTTGACAATATACTGCTCCCAAATTAATATTGAAAATATTCAGTGTGAAAAAATAATAGCCCTTCATAGATCTGTGTTCCATGAGGTTATCCAATTCTTCTTTTAAAGCCAACAATGAAATCTTACTGTTTACTGAAAGAAAAGGAGCAAAGAAAAGAGGAAAATAATATAGGAAACTGGCTAATTAGTGGGCAAGAAAGAAACATACATTAGTAATAATAACAACTTGCTGAATAAAAAACAGTAACAAAAGCTAAGAGAAATAAGCTGCTAATTAATTTTGCAAGGGGGCTTTGCAAAACAATCAGAGTAAATATATCCAGGATCATTTTAACTATAGCATGGAACTATTGCATGAAATTGCTACTTTAAACTTTGATCCTGGAAACTGAAAAAGCAGTACCTCACCAGAATGGATGCTTTACTATGGAAACACCCATCTTGGAAAAAGAGAGATGGGATGGGAAATAGATGAGAAGAATACATATTTAAAGCACATCTCCTCAAATGTGGTCATATAGTGAAGAAACCACTTTAGTTTGCATTACTGAAATCTAGATAGAGAAACTGGAAGAAACTTAGCTACCTGTTTCTGTTCACAAAAATTCTGATGTATTGACAATACAGGGCTAAGAAGAACACAATTGTCAAGGTGAATATGTGTACTGTCTACAATCTTGGTCTCCCTCACCAAGATTCCAGTTTGGTTGAATATCAAACTGAGGAAAATAAAGGTCTTTATTCTTAGACTTAATAGTCTCCAGAACTGACTTCTTCAGTCATTGCATAACATGTGATATATAATAATGGACATAATCAAATAAACCACTTTGACATTTGACACAATAGCAATAGCATTTAGACTTCCATACCGCTTCATAGTGCTTTACAGCCCTCTCTAAGTGGTTTACAGAGTCAGCATATTGCCCCCAACAATCTGGGTCCTCATTTTACTGATCTCGGAAGGATAGAAGGCTGAGAAGGCTTGAGCCGGTGAGGATCGAACTCCTGGCTGTGGGCAGAGTTAGTCTGCAATACTGCATTCTAACCAGTGTGCCATCAAGGCACAACAACCAAACCAAAACTTATGACTTGTAAACCAAACTGAACAGGCTCACATACTGAGTCCAAAGAAAGAAAACACAAGACAATTTAGCATGCTGTGTGATACTGCCCTTGTGGTAGATATATGTATTCTGATTGTGTTACCGTGATACGGACATCTTTTCAACACCAATGCCATATGTAGAAATAAAAGGCAACAGAAAGAAGAACATGGGGAATAGTGAGAGGACCAGCAAATTAGAAGATCAAAGCATACTGGGATATAGTATTAACATATCAACAAAAGCCAATGGTAGCAGTGATAAATCAGAGGCCATTGTGGAGGGGTTTAAAGGTTTACAGAGTCTCTTAATCTGCAGGATATTGGTTGTCTGGTTATGGTTTAAATAAAATGCTCAAATAAAAGTTATGCAGTCATAGAGCTTGAAAATGCAAACCATTTCTATTCTGTATTTGATTATACACACATATTTAGATATAGTATACACTACTTCTCTTTCAGATACCAGTTGAAACATATGCAGTTTATTTTTGGAAACATTTTAAGAAGCTAAAGACATCTTCACTGAAATAAAAGAATCATGATACGAATAACAGACAGCATAGTTAAGGTAGTCACAGAAAGCTAGTGATTTACCTCCATCAGTAGAATATCCTTAGAACTCTGTGCTTGGACCTTAGGATGTTGAACCTTCACAGCAACTGTCCTCCCATCTTGTAGCACAGCCTTGTGGACTTGGGCCAACGATGCTGCCCCCAATGGAACATCTTCAAAACTGGCAAACAATTCATTGATCTGTAAAGAGAAAAGATATCTCAGATTTGCTGATGCTTAGGTTGGCCACTATTTTAGCCCTTGAACTTCTGCAGTAACCAAGAATACAATACAGCAATATAGCATACTATTGTAATATTTAGAAAAAACTGTCACAGAAAACTGAAGAATTCATGCAAAAAACCCTCCAAACCATGTAGTTTCTCCATACACTGAACCATAATTAAGAAGCTTGGCTGTTTAATTAAATAATGTTTACATTCAACTTGCTGAACAGTAACTGAAAGTAGCTATACACTGAAGCGTTTTAGCATGACATACACATTCTAGTACTGGTGAGCTGAACAGCATAAGTAATACTACAAGCACTTCATCCTTATTTATAGTAGTCCATGAAAATAAGATTTAACCCGTTAAATTAATTTTACTTTTTACAATAACATTTCTCTATTGCTCTTTTACTCAGGAAGGTCAACCTTGAGATCAGTCACTTCAGCCATGGAGAATTGAAGTCTTTTCTCACTGTTTTTAGAATATTATCATTTCAGATACCAGATGAACCTTGGCTAGTAAGGATAATCTCTTCCATTAGGCAACAACCAACCAGGTTTACCACAAAATGGTCCTTAATCAGTTGGCTGAAATTCATAGTAATAAATAACACTCAGTTTTCTTTGTAATAACACTTTGTGTTGCTAGAATTACTGTTAACACAAATGTCACTTGTTTTTTGCTAGTTAAAATAATGTGCAAAGCTCTAAGAGAAAGCTTAAAAAGGAGAGATTCACAGAGAATGTAACTAGCCATTGATATGCCTCTATGCCTCTGAAAATTGACTGTGTTCTCTGCTTTCCAAAGAAATATAAAAGAGACACTGTTAATTTAAATTTAGAAACATGTAGTGTTTTCTAATGTGGCTAGGATAGATGGTATTGTTTTAATATGTATATTTCTTGTACACTGTCTTTGTAAGACACTAAGGTGACAAAACAATTCTAAAAAGAAATAAACATAATAGATATGTCCTGCTTATGATCTTTCCTTATGTATTTATTTGGTTGTTATAAAAAAACCAAACACAGGTATGATCCAACAATTCTGTTCTTGCAGTAGCAGGGTATTTGGCTTTTCACTAATTGACTGTGTTCATATATAACTATAAACCAATATTTTAAAATCATAATTTGCTAAATAAGTGTTAATGGACATAGCAATTTAACTGGTGGAGTGCATAACTACACTGAGCAAGAACTAAGCAGATCACATTATGGCTTAGTACGCTTTATGAGACCAGAATATGCGTTATCTGGATGATGGTTGAACTCACACATTGTGCTAAGTTACTGCGTTGCTGACTTTGAGTAAGTGTACTGTGTGAACCTAACCAATTATGGTTTATTTAATAATTAAACCAAACATGGTTTAGTTTGATGATTCACCTGACCCTAATTAAGCATAACAGATTCAACCACTGCATATAATCATAGTTCTGTGCTAACTAAAAGTCCATTCAATGAACGATGGAACAGACAATGAAAAGCTAGACAGATGGAAAGTCAAATATTTGCAGCCCAGACTTGCCAAATCTGGGCTGCAAATATTTGGACGACCATGAAATGGAAGCAAATCTAAACTCTTTCCTGCCGTCTAGCAATTGTCTAGATTTTTGGCTGTTCGGTTAGGGGACTCCTAAAAAGAGGATTAACCAGACAAGTGCATGTGGGAATTGGACTAATCAGAGAGCATGGAGAGAAAATGCAGGAATTTTCCATTGAAGGTTCAACCTTACAATTGGGATTGGCTTCAAAGCTATCTTGAATCCCCTGAGGTTTGGCTAAGCTTGTTTAAAAATCTGGTAGCAGATTTGAAAGAAAGAAGGTTGTTTTCTTTTCCCCTACTTATCTCATATGCAGGCATACATACATGCATATACATAGTCACATTTAAACTCATATAACAGAGCCAACAGTCAAGGAGTACATTATATATGCAGAAATTAAAAGAAAACAAATTGAGTGCGAGTGCATTTTATAGCCTACTTTTTAACACAGTAATTAAAGAAGGGAACTGTAGCAAGCCAGCAATTAAATATGAATAAAACACTTTTAAGCAGCCTACATGCAAAGCATCCAACAGAAACCTTTTGTGTTGATGAAAGGGAGGAAAAGAAGCAACCCAGGCCTACATGCAGCTGCTGACAGCAGCTTTCCCTCCCTCCTCCTCCTCCCAGCAAGCACATAGACACACCACTTCTTACCTCGGCCACCCCCTTCTCCATTGCTTCCACAATAAATATTACCAGCAGCTAACTGGCACATTTGCAGCAATTAGATTCCCATGGAGTCTCAGCTGCCTCCAGTAATTCACAGGGAGGGCACCTTTTAATTTTTATTTATTTTAATTTTTCTGCCAGCAAAATCAATTAAATAGAACAACTGCATTTGAAAAGAACTAGTTAAAAAAAAATTCATAATTATAGCGGATGCATGATTCATCCTTTTGACATCCTTGCTGCAAGAAAAATTGTCTTCCTTTCATATATTTCACAAGATATTAAGATTACATTTTTTTGTTCCCCACTCTATTAAACTCAAGTTAATGTTTAGTCACAGGTCAGATGGCTTGGAGAAATTACTATCAGTAAAACAACTTTACTTGAATAGAGGTTTATATATCATGCAAAAACATAGCTTGGCATGATAGATACACTAAGCCCCAAAGTAGTCTACATATTTTAGTCTAACATGGCATCATATCCTACCCACATAGTTAGTGTACACAGTATGGCAGCTCTTCCAAACCTGGTAGAAATATAGCTCCTATAGAAATTACAGTATTTAGATCAATTACTGGTAATACAAAACAAATTATAGCTTGGTGAATCCAAACAGTCTCTGAAAATTCCTTTAGGAAACCAATCCTTTTATCTATAGTATGTCAGTCAGTCATAAGAAAGGCCATTAGGAATTGTAGTCTTCAAAACCAAATGTTCATTACTATTTGCTACATGCTAAATGAGATTTATTGTTAAAAAGACTGATTTCGCATCCCTCAAGCTGCATCTTTGAGCTATGTCACATTCCAACATCCATACTACATTTGCCCACATGTCACTGCTAAACCTTATGAGATTTAGGTCTAAGACTCCATAGCATCATCTTATTATAACTGGCCTTTAGCCATGCAACTATTTATCAGCCCCAGTGCAACCTAGGCTATTATATCTGGGCTGCAAAAATCTACCTGACCACTAGATGGTGGGAAAGAAATGCAGTTAAGTCTAAGACTCCTAAGTCTTTGCTGCTACTTATGGCCATGCAGAAGAGTGCAACCCAAATACAGAGCCCTTATTGTACTGCCAGATTGATTTTAAGATGTTGAGATGTGTGGAAACATTTACCTCATTGAATATTGAAATTCAATCTGCACAGCCAGATAATTTACATTATAATGTTTTTCACTGCTGGGGTTGATTTTTAATCATGCAAATAATATATGTAAAGATAGAAATAATGTTTATAATAATCACGATGAGAGTGGTAATACATATTGGGCTGAAATTTGAATCAGTAAAACTCTTTGCTTTAGACATGCATATATTTTATGAGGATGAGAACAGACAGTAAGTCAATGGCACTGATATGCTTTGCCTAAAAAAGATGCAGCTCCAATACCTGTCACCTCTAGTTAAAAAGATCAGGTAGCAGATGACGGGAAGGAAACTTGGCCAGAAACCAAGCAAAGCCAGTGCCAGTGGCAATAGATCGGTCATGAGGCAATTGCTCTAGAAGGGAAGCTACATCTGTCTTATAGCAAAAACAACAGTCTTGTGACATATTAAAGTCATTATACAGCAGAACATTTTAAACTGTATTCCACAAAACCCTACAGGGGGAAAAAGGGTTCACTCAAATACAGGAATGATATTTACAGTGGGAAGGGCATGACTTGTCAGCTGGCCTTCAGATGCCCTCTCCCCAGATGTTCGTACTCCTGATGACCAACAGTTTTTGAGAGGTGACAGTGGCAGCAGAGTAAAAATGAAGGACACAATTTTTACCTAATAAAATATTTCTCCCTGGTAGCTCTCTCTGCCTCTTGATCCAGAATTCTTTTTTAGAAATTTAAGGTCCATATCCTGACAAAGTTTGAAACCTCCAGTATATAGCAGAGGTTTTCATGTATGTGATATCTGGTCCACAAAACATGATATTATTAATCAATTTGTTAGTTTTTCTGGGGCCAGATGATTCTTTGCCTTGTCTGACTTGGAGAAAGGAAGCTATATGTTGTTACACCAGCATTCTCAGAAAGCTTCTGAGAAATCCTGTTGAAACAAATCCATTATACACCACCTTATTGCATCCTGCCCCAACTATTTTTAACTATATTTAAAATTAAATAAGATGCTGAATCATTGAAACACAAATCCCATACTTCATTAGCTTTTATTAGACCTATAAGTCTAAGGTCAATCAAATGTTTAACTCAAACAAACAGCTGCTTTACATTTGAAAAGCAAATACAATTCTTTCTTTCTTACATCAATTTATGCATTCTGTGTTCAGAAATCAAGTGTTGAATTGCTCTAGGAGTTATTAAGACAGCAGAAGATGAAAGATTAGATTCATCATAGCAGATAGTGGATTATGAAGAATAATTCATCAAATGTCAGAACAAACCGTTCACAATTTATAGAAACCTATGAAATCTGATTGGACTTCTTCTTGACTAATGAATGCCAAACTTAATTGATGAGACTTTAGCTTGGTTGTCAAAGTCCATATTTATTAAGTATTTCTCATAATAACTTCTGTGCAATATAGTGCCTTTTACTCCAGTCTAAGGCCCAATATCAAATTTCTCTCCCCCAACTGTTAATGGAGATGGAGCATGCCCTTATAATGATTATATATTTGGCCTAGTGGATACTTTGCTGTAGTTATTGCAGAGCCTAAAGCAGACAGCAAAAACAATGGGATGGAAAGGGAAGAGAACTGTCCCCTATTAACTAATGCATT